GAGATTTACTATATATATATATATATATATATATATAATATATATATATATATTGACTGTGACAAGGAAGCAAAACTGGTAATCAGGCTAGACTACGTGGGACAGTCTTAACAAAATTTCACAGCTAAATGTAGCTGACGTGTATTATTGTGACTATATGTTAGCAGCCATGTTATGTTCACTAGTGTAAGAGGAAAAGGAGGAAGGGTTTTCACAGGTATGCAAAAATAAGAGCGTCAGTATTTTAAGCACTCCCCAGAGTTTGTGCTTTTAAAATGCGGATAAATTGACATGTCTCTACACACTTGCACAGTACTGTGACGGGTTTAAACAACCTCATTGGAAACTAGACAGAAAAAGCTTATAATACAGCTATATTAATTTTCAATAAAAATTCAGATTTGAAGCACTTTAAAGTCATATCTCAGATTACATCTGCACACACAACCAATGTTTTTTTTTTTGTGGTGACTCTGGCAAACTTTTCCAATGGTATTTTAAAAGCCTCCCACAATTATATTGTCTGCAAAACTATTTTGAAGCATTTAAACCAAATCCTTGAAATCATCAAGATCATGAGAAAACTACATTCAGTCAAACATGTCCAAGCATTTGACTCCTGCTGCTCTATATTACAAGCCATGGAACCAAACCACATAATGTTTTCGACACAGGCTAATCTTATCCAGTCTCCTGCTTTGGATATAGATTACAGATTAAACATGCACTCATAATGAGTAGGGTTATGTGTTTGTCTTGCATGTGAAACAGGAGAGCCGGCTCTCTATTGGGAGCAAACACACCCAAACATCTCAACCTCCAGTGAATCACAGTGGCCACACACACAGAGCTAAACATCACTCATGGATACACAACATACAACTGTGTGCTACCAGACCAAGCAATGTCTATACAATATATAAGAATTACAACTTTTAGAACTAGCAGACACGTATCCCTTTTTGTAAGCCTGTAACTTTTTAACGCACATGAGCCCTCGGGTGTGTGCAGGATGACTTAAAATATTCAAATGAATATATTAAAAATACAATTAATAGTGATATTACAAATAAAATAAAACTTAGTTTTAAAATCTACTTAACTTTTTTTTTTTTTTTAAATAGACTTAACCTCTAAAAAAGTAAAGTATAAACGATGCAGAACAACTTTAGTGCTGAAAATAAATACTTGGGGTTAGAGGTTTGTTCAAATCCATAAACCTAAGATTGAGTAATAGTCTTGCCTTAGCAAACCTAATGAATTAAGTGGTTTTAGGATAAAACTAAAGACATCATTTAATGATGGAAGCTTTGAAAGCACTCCAGTGAGTAAATTATATTTTGTTCAACATATTTTTTAAAACATAAATATTGGAAATGTTCCCTTGCAGTTTGACCCATTTCACACAAGTTGTTCAGTATTTCCTTTATTTTATAAAAACTTCAGGGCTTTACAAAAACACAGCTTCAGAAATCCCATTAAATCTCACATCACACTTTATAAATACTGTTAATGTGTCTCACGGGAAATCTCGGTATGATCTGGTGTCTCACTCAGAGAAGGCAGAGGTAAATCCCTTCTACCAATGGTAAATCCTGCCATTTATGGGCATTTATGCAGTACCCTGTATCTTCCCAATTACAACGCAGTATCATTCATCGTGCTTGCCTTGCTATTTATCAAAGGGTATTTATACTGGTTAGCCGGTATATTCAGAACAGCAGCCCTACTGCTAACAGGGTAGCGTAATATTCTGCTCTGGATCAAGTAATGCATGTTTTTTTTCACTGAAACATACCACACATGGGTGCAACAATCTTTTAAAATATTCAGATCAATCGTTACAGTTTAAACTATAAATTCCTGATTTTGCTAGCTCTGACTCTCGACATTTGACCTTGCTTGGACCGGCTCTGACCCCATCTAACCCCGCCCTATCGTACCGTGCTGCCCTCCACTAATCACTGTCGTCATCAGACCAGCCAAAGTCGTCCATGGTGATGGCCATGTTCAGTTTGCGTCCCTCACGAACACTGCAGGACTTGGAGGAATTCTTCTTTGCTTGCATGTTCAACTGCATCCCTGATTGGCTGATGAGGTTACCACTGGGAATGTTCATATCCAGGTCAAAGACGCCCCCGAACCCCAGCATGAGCTTCTGTAGGCTGGCCTGGCCCAGATCCCCGTTACTGCAGGTTGATGAAATCTGACAGCTGATCTCAGAGCTTTTGCTCTCCTCCATATGAGCCTCATAGAAGGACTCCGCACTGAGAGTGGCTGCCAAGGGGGAAATATGTGAAAACAGCTGCGGAAAGAACATAAAGTCAATTAAAGTTTGTAGATAAGTCATTTGAATTAGAGGTGGAAATGTACATTCACACTTACATTCACATTTACGTTAAATGGAAACTACAGCATTCCTATTCCTATGATTTTCTAAGATTTAAAAAAATACTTTGGTACTTAAAGCCTTTATGTATAATGCATTATAAAGGTACTCATAATGTAATAATGCATTGTATATTTTCATAAATAATTGTAATGTTAGTTTAAATTAAAATGCATTTTAATATTTAAAGTCTTGTTTATGTTTTAATGTTTTCTAATACTTTCTAAAGGTGTAACAATGAATAGATAAGTATTATAATGTGTTATAACTGTGATTACAATTATTCATGAGATTATAAAATGCATTATAAGGTTCATTACAAAGCATAATTAATGCATTAAAAATACTTTTATAATACGAAAAAGTCTTAGATCTTTGAGTTCAGCTCGTGAAAAATGGGGGCAAAAACAAAAGTGTTGCGTTTATAATTTTGTTCAGTGTATATATATAAGTATATATTTAAGTATTACCAATATTTTTATAGAGATACTTACAAAGAAAACTTGTTTAAATTTTCTTTTTTATTAATTATATTGACTATAGAAATCCCCTTAACTTTCCTTAACTTATAAACATGACCTTTTAAGATTTTAATTACTTCTTGAATAATCTTGAAATTCCATGGTGATGGCCATCCTTGTGAAAAAGAAGTGTGCTTAACTGCATTTAATGTGCATTTGTAGTGTACTTTAAAAAAAGTTGCAGATAATATAATATTAAAGAAATAATATTATATATTATAAATAATAATATATATTATAATATATAATATTATAAATAAAGGCCTCAGTGTAATTAATGAGTACACTTTCATTAGTTTCTTAACACTACTAAGTACACTTTTAAAAATGAGTGCACTAAGTGCACTTTGTAATAATGTAAAATCAAAACTTATACTTTAAAGTGCATTTTAAATCATTAGGTTTAATAATTTTTGCCATGCTTTAATGAAGAGACTTATTTTGATGTGTTGACTAACATACAAAAGCACAAGTACTTTATTATATTTTAACTGTAGTGTAGTGTGGTATTCAATATTACATTTAAAGTTAATATACTGTATGTAATACTTAAGTATGCTAAAGTATACTTCTTTCTCACACTTCTTCCTCACAAGGGCAAGTTACTGTGTACACTGTATTATTGCAGATTTTCTCTATGCAAATGTACTCAGATGACCTTCTATGCCTGCCAGAATTTGCACGACACAATTAAGGCACACTACCAGTAATGTTGCACACAATGCATAGGCTTGTTTTAGTCCAAACTTTGTTGAAGTTTCACTACTCCTTTGAGTGACTTCCTACTTTATCAGTGCTGCATGTCACATGAAAACATGACAATGTCAGCATTCTACAACTTAAAAAAACTGTGCATTGGTGTGTCATATAAAACTCTTGATTAACATCACTTAATTATTCTTAAAATTTAATAAATATATGAATAAATTAGGAATAACAGGCGTGTAAAATGGACCTTCCCAAAAACTCTCCTTCGGATTCACAAACCTCAGATTTGATAGTTAAACGTGTGTATGTTAATGAGCCCCTCCACTGCAGACAGCAAGCCAAATATGTTTAACCTCAATATCTTAAAGTTTACCTAGCTATTTTGGCAAACAAACTTGTAAAATATTATTATACTACATACAGAGCTATCAAAATGCAGTGTCTAAAGGAAAACGAAACATTTGGATGATTTACGCATCATTTACACATGGTTGGGAGCAGGCGTACATTTTTTGTGTACCATCTAACATTTTGAAAATATGAACATTTTCATAAATCCGAAAATTTAAACACACACACACACAAAATCATAGTGACGTGACATGTGGCCAAGTATGGTGACCCATACTAGGAATTAGTGCTCTGCATTTAACCCATCCAAAGTGCACACACACAGCAGTGAACACACACACACCGTGAACACACACCCGGAGCAGTGGGCAGCCATTTATGCTGCGGCGCCCGGGGAGCAGTTGGGGTTCGGTGCCTTACTCAAGGGCACCTCAGTCATGGTATTGAAGGTGGAGAGAGCGCTGTACATTCCCTCTCCCCACCTACAATCCCTGCCGGTACGAGACTCGAACCCGCAACCTTTTGGGTTACAAGTCCGACTCTCTAACCATTAGGCCACGTCTTCCCCCATTCTGCCCCATGTTTCACGAATGAGGCCTATAGTGTATACTTCCTTCTTTCTCCTACAGTATCTCAGCTTCACATGCATAGACAACTATAAGTAAGCCATTCATAGGTGGATTTCCAGCAGAAAGTATAAACACAGTGACACTATCAAAACATCTAGACCAGCTCAACACAGCACTTTTAGCTCAATCAGAGTTTTGGGTGAGACTGTTTGTCTGTTTTGTCTGTCCAATTTCAGACAAGGCGAGTTTGAGAATACTCTTTATAGTTATTATATAACAATTGATCCCACTAGTGGTGCAAAAATGACACACTCCATAAAGGTGAAGGGTCCACTAGTGGCATCAAACCGAACTGTAATTCAATAATGGTAATAATGAGGATTCTCGCCCTTCTAGACTGTAATACTATATACTATGTAGTACACAGTATGCAGAAGTGTGGTTGCAAAATGAGGAGTTATGTTTTTTAGCACAGAATGATGTGGACTCACAGGAGTGCAGGATCTGGATCTTTCCATAAGTCTGTTTTCCCACTCTGTCAGTCGTCTTTCTCTTTCTGCCAGCTCCTGTTCCTTACAGCTCAACTCCATCTCCAACTGCTTTAAGCGTTCCAGCGTCTCCTCAATCTCACACCTTACAGGAGAAGACACAGGAAGTTTGATTAACACATTGTATAATTTATCACCCAACCGAAATGCACCTTTGACCTAAAAAACAAACAAACCCAGCTGTATGCAATTCCTATCTGTGCCAGCAGGTGGTACTGTATGCTAAACAATACAACCTCCCACACGAAGCCTTTCCTTTGGCTATTTATAAACAGGTATGTGAAGGAAGGCCAGAATGCCCCCCTCCGCCCTCAAAAGCCATATCAGCCCCTGCCAAAATCTCTCCACACACACTCTCAAAACCTCCCCTTCTGCTAGAATTGATTTCTCTACCACTCTCATGAGGAGCGTTTCCAGAATGTCTCACCCTCCCTCTTCCTTGCCCTTCTGCTCCTCGCTCTTTTTCCATTCCTCTCAGTTCATTTCTGACATCTCTCTCTTCATGCACTGCAGCTCTGCTGAAGTCAAGCATTCATTGTGTTTGTTTCCTCTATTTGTGTTTTTGCTCTTACAACTCGTACCTCTGTGAGTTGTAACCTAGTCTACTTTTTACTTAAATTATTATACTATAGTTCCTCAAAAACTTGATACTCACAAACGTTTAAAAGCAAGTTTAAAGTTTAATACAAGTTAAACTTCACAGAAAATAATTTTGATAATTTCACAATTATGCCAGTAAGTTTATATGTTGTAATTTCATATGGCTAAAAAGTGAAGTACTCAGAGACAGCTAATAAAAATGTAGACAAATTTACCTTGAATAACAAACATTTTTTAAAAGTATTTTAAAAAGCATCATATTTCAGGTTTTGAAACTCTCGTGTGTGTGCATTACATTAACATCCAGGTGTACTTTAACGCACACGTATGTTTTGCTAGTTTTGATGAATCAACAGATAAACAGAAATAATGATTTGTAGTAATTTCCGCATTATTCATGGATCTTACATACAGTTACTTCCCGTTTCATATTTTGGTTTTTAACTTATGCTTTACATGTTTTTAATTCTTATAAGTTGTATGAAACTGGCTACTGATTATATGTTTCCAAAGTATACACTTTTTACAATTAGGTTATGTGTCCATATGAATCACACTTGTCATTTGCACAGATTAATACAAATACGTTGGCAAATTTTTGTTCGAAGCTTGCTTATAACCTTTTTTTTTTTTTTCAATTTAACACTTCAGAACACTTAAAAAAAAAAAAAGGTTCTGGACTGTACGTACCTCCACTCTGCTTTGTTATGTAAGAAGGAGTTGCATTGGTCGGGCAGTTTGCTGTCATTTTTCATGGTCTCTAGGGTGCTCAGGATCTGTTTGAACTGTGGCCTTTCCTGGAGATGAAAGTTTTATTATGTTTATTATGGCTATTCTTCAGCACAATGTAATCAAAGTTTGAGATCAAGCATTCATTAAAATGATAAAAAACCTCATCATTTTTGGTTCCTTTCTCATTTAGCTCGTAAAATGTTAGGTCATAAACCTTCTACACACATACCTATTCACTATAATATGAAATTTGAGAACTCATGAAAAATTCACACGGAGGTCAGTAAGAATAAATGGCAGAATTTGCACGCAATAGTTTTTTGCTATTAAACTGTTCACATTGAATTTGATTATGAATCACCATTCTCTAAAAAAAAAATACACTAATTCTCCACTTGCTGAAAAAAAGAGAACAATCTAGAATGATTCTTACAGTCATTTCGGACTCACTGTGAAGATGTTCACAAACATGCATAGTTTCATTTTAAAATCTTGACTTGTAAAGCCCTAAGATTTCATTTGAACGAACAGCTGCTTGTGATGTTCCTTCATTTGCAAGTCTCTTTGAATAAAAGCATCTGCCGAATGACTAAATGTATACAGTTATTACGATTCCAGTGATCCTGAGCATCATATGAGCTGAATTTCAGCTCTATCCCACCATTGCAAGTCTCTTTGAATAAAAGCATCTGCCGAATGACTAAATGTAAACAGTTATTACGATTCCAGTGATCCTGAGCATCATATGAGCTGAATTTCAGCTCTATCCCACCATGTACCTTGGGCTCTGCAATCCAGCAGCATCTCATCAGGTCTGCAAAGCTAGCGGGGCAGCTGCTGGGAATGGTCGGCCTCTGGAACACATAACCCACACAAACACCAGACACAAGCACACGCATTAGAATCCATTTCAAAAACCCGTTATAGCAGCCATTACATAAAATTCTAATTTTAGCACATGTCCGGTTTAAGCTCTCAAAAGCAACTGCTGCAAAGCGTTCCTCTGGGCTAAGTTTACATCACAACTCAAATGGAGCGTATATCTCCATTTTCAAAGAGTCTGATATATAATAACCAGTATATAAGGATTAACAAAGAGCTTTTACATGGCCGCTGTTTACACTGCTAAGTGATAAAAATGAGTTCTCACTCAAGATAATGGAACTTTAAGAGCATGTGAGGAGAGATGCTGTAATGGAGACTTGTCGAATCCCATTTGATAAGCCACACATGTAGGAATCTAATACTGTCCAAGTGGCTCGTCCAATAGCAATAGCTGCAGAGTATTGGATCTGACAAACAGCACTGGCACACCACATAATCATGAGCCCACGAGAAAATGGAAACTGCTCCTTCCCACTGGGAATTTAACATAAACCAAAATATCTTTTCATCCATCTTTTGACCTCTCCCACTCGCCCTCGCCAACATTTTCTCTTATAAGTCTGTAACTCTGTCTCAGGCTGGGATGTTTATCTTAAAAGGTTTCCTGACTACCCCCCTACAGCACTAAAACCACTGTGGTCTAATCCGATCTCCACCTGATGGCTTCTCTGCAGGCGCATAAAGAGAACTACAATAGATCTTAACTCTCCGTAATGTGTGCTAGTGCTCAATAAAAGTTGCAGAGGTATGTATTGAAGCCTCTGGATCAGCCCGCTATAAATAACCAACTAAAGCAAGCAATGGAATCCATTATCATACTGTTCCATTCCATCCCACAGAAAGAACAAGAAACGTAACTGTTCCAGAACATTATGATTAGGTGCGATCCATGCAAAGTCTGTTCCAAAAGTTAATAAAAGTTAAAATACTTTCTTTACTTTCTCCAGTTCTGAATGTGGCAACTGGGCATAACTCATGCGTTTTGTTCAGAATACAAGTAATGCACATGTAAACACATATGTGAATCAGATTGCAAAGCTTAGGGTTCATATAAACAGGACTTTCAGAATCTGAAATCGGATTAGATTCAGTCAAACTGAAGAAAACGAGTGCATGTAAACATAGCTAGTGAGAGAATTAGTGATTCTATATGTACCACAAATTAATTCAGTACTTAAAAGTATTGCTTAAAATTTCAGTCTAATTCAGGTTCGCTATTTTGTATGATATTTATGTGTGGTATGTATTTTTATGCTTATTAGAGTATTGCGTCATTAGCTTAGCAACATGCTGACAGTAAACTCTAGTGAACTTTCTGTACTGAAAGTACTGGAAGCTCCTGACACCAAGACGAATTCCTTGTGTGTGTAAACACACTTGGCAATAAAGCAATAAAGCTCTTTCTGAAATCCATTGTTTGCTAAACTATTTGCTGCTTATGTACAATTATGTCACTCAGGATCACACACCAGATGGATCTAACACTCTCATTCGTAGCTGAAAGCATGATAAAATCCACCAAAATGTGATAAATGAAAACGCATATGAGTTTTATTGGCACAGATTCCATGTGGGAAACAGAGGTTAAAACAGAGGATCCAGTCTAGTGAGGATGCAGCTGTCTATGTAGGACAGAAGGCAGTTCACTAAGTTTTGGAACAAAGCCAGGAAAAGAGTTTGCCAAAGTTAACTACTACACTACTGACAATGTATACAGACATATACAATGTAACTATACTAACATTACATTCATGCGGTGGTTTTATAGTAATAGCATTCCTCTCTTAAGAACACTGAGGGATTGTGGGATACTGTGTAGTACCTCATGTTTTTCCACCACCAACCAGGCCACCTGCAAACCCTCAAAACCTTTAAATGGCACTTCTCTGGTCAGCATCTCCCACAATACCTGCAAGACAAACCACAAATCAAACAATAAATGTGCATATGTCCTGGCATTGCTCTCTACAACAAATCTGGCATATTTCACAAACAAAAACATATATGGGTTGAACAACACTTGGAATGCAGTTTATGCAGACTGTGTTTGAAATAACAATTAATTCAGACAGTCAAACATACATACACACACACAGCCATGTATACACACACACACACAGCCATGTACACACATACACACACACACACACGCACACACACACACATATACATTATATATACATATATCCTTGCATGAACAACCGTTTAATGCTTTTTAATTACTTTAGACTACTTTTAACCCTAAAATACAATCCTCTGCATTTGCTTTGCTTTTTTCCATGGGATACAATAGAAGATATTTAGCGAAATGTCCTGGCTGCTCTTTTCTATACAATGAAAGTGAAACCATACTTTCTTATCAGGATTCAAAGAGACAAAGAGATAGAAAAGCGTGATCACAGCACATTCATACTACAAATGTAAGTCATACAAATATAAGTACTGACCACGCCATATGAGTAGGTGTCACATGTTTCTGAGACGGGCAGACTCTGGATCACTTCAGGGGCCATCCAAGGGAAGGTGCCCACCAGAGACATGTGCGTTGTGTGAGAAACCAACTTAGATGCTCCAAAATCACAGATCTGACACCAACAAAATGCATTACGCAGGGACAGTCAAATTGATATTTTGAGCAGAGTTTAAATCCTTAGATTTTATTACGAAGGAAACATACCTTTAATACATTGTCTGCAGTTAACACAACTAATGGAGAGAAAATAAAATAGTTATTTGTGTATAATCATCATGTTTGCATTTTTTGCTCGTGAAATTGCTCACAGCTCACCATTTCTTGACTTCAGGTCTCTATGAATGACTTTCACAGGGGCCTCGGCATGTAAATAATGCATTCCTACAGAGAAACGAATCACAGAACCAGCCATTATCTCATAAGGAAAATGTGACTGAGCTCATTACATAAACACGTGTATTCATACAGGCACATACCTGTAGCAATATCCATTGCCCAGGTCATTACTTGATCCATATCCATCTCCTCACTGTCAACACTGGACAAATATTCATACAGTGATCCTCTGCTGGCATATTCTACAATACAAACACACAAACCATATACATATCACCACATGTGTCAACTAAATGTTGTGGAGCTGCTATATACTGTAGATGATAGCTAAATTTTTTTGGACCACATATACAGTACTGTTGAAAATTTTGGGGTCTGTAAGATTTTTAAATGTTTTTTAAAAGTCTCTTATGCTCACCCAGGCTGCATTTATTTGATAAAAAATACAGTAAAAACAGTAATGTTGTGAAATATTATTAAAATTTAATTTAAATTGTTTTCTAATTCCTGTGATGCAAAGCTGAATTTTCAGCATCATTACCGCAGTCTTAAGTGTCACATGATCCTTCAGAATTCATTCTAATGTGCTGATTTGGTGCTCCAGAAACATTTTTATTAGTATCAATGTTGAAAAAAGATGTGCTACATGATATCTTTGTGGAAACCATTTTTTTTTTCATTCTTGGGTGCACAGAAAGAATTGAAATAGAAATCTTTAGTAACATTATAAAAGTCTTTACTATCACTTTTGATTGATTTAACACATCCTTGTCGAATAAAAAGTACTCATTTGTGTGTATTGCTTGTCATTGTAACATACAGAGAAGCGGAAAGGAGTGAGAGAGACCAGCTGGACAAGCAAAAAAGCCTGTCTCATGTCGAGATGTCAATCAACACATGAGATCATCTATCACCAACCCTCCAGTGAAGTCAAACACAGCTTAGCACACTCAGGGTTTCCCATTTACACATGCACACATCCACAGACACACAGGGAGCAGATGCTGGCAGCAGGAGTCAGAGGAAGACAGCATGCACAGCCGTTAGATTTACTGAATACCCAGCTGACAAAGCCACTGAAAGACATGCTCTCGAGAAACGATTAGGTCACATAAATCTGCTCATAAGCGCATTTACATCCCTGGAGACCAAGATCACAATAGGATGTTTAAAAAATGGCAAGACAAGTGTGTAAGCGTGTAAGTGTGCGTCTGTCCTGTTGATGAATTATCCTCACACCCTGATTATCCACAAAGCTTTTTACAGTCACAACAACATGGCAATAGGCAGTAGTGAAATGTTTGGGAGAGGGGTACAAGAGGGGGTATCACAGCAACTCTTAAGAACAAAATAATCACAAAGAAGATCTCTATAATATCTGAGCGATTTCTCTTAGACAGCAATGAGATACACTTTTTTTCATTTCAAAATTACATACTTTTCCAGACTCAAATTTCTAGACTTCTCTGAAGATTTTTCTGACCATATTGATAAATGGTTTTAAACACCTTCTGACTAAGTATGCTGCAAATCAATTAACAGATCAAAGTTCAGACCAAAGTTCAATACGCAGCATTTTATTAAAACTACAGGGTTGTTTGATACTCTTTCACACTTGCACATTTTTTTTTTTACATTTATTTCGAAATTTTTACTTGACTATTTTAATATTATTAAATATCATTTAAACTATTAAATATCATTTTACTAATATATCTTATATTTTATCAATACATTTACTGAAATCAATTCCACATGATAACATGTGCTTACATGATGAAAAGAAACCTAAACACTTTATAACCTGCATTTTTATTGCATAATGAAAATACATGCCTTGAATTCATTCTGTTGTGTTAAAAACTTTTGGCTGCACTGGCTGTCTGCTCCAAAAGTCATGAAAAACACTCTGCCTGTATGATAACTTTATTTTTTAGAAATTCTTAATGTTATATTTTAGAAAACAAAATAGGGACAGTTATTCCAAATATGGCTTTTTTTCATAATTCAGACTTTTTTCCTCTCAAGAACTGTGAGATATAACCTCAGAATTCCATGCTGCGCAGGAACCCTGGTTTTAGAAGAAATCTCAACAATAACTGAGAAACATAACTTTTTTTTGTCTTATGAGCATTTAAAGAGAAACTCTGAGCAATAAAACATTCAACTGCTTATGAAACAAAAAGAGACCACATTTTATTATTACCTGTGACAATGCCATAGTTGGGCGCTTCCAGAATGGCTCCGTAGAACTGAATAATATTTTTGTGGCTCAGGACACTCAGAATCTCAGCCTGGATGAGGTGAAGGAAAAAAAAAAAACAGATGCAGAGGTGAAAGTCACCAGACTGCGGTCAAACACTCAGGCTCAAATGAGTGCTGCATCAATGTCATAAAACTATTTTTTCATTACAGTATGTCGAGGTCAAATATTACGCTAGAAATGTGCGTGAACATGGAGCCATTAGCAGTATTGTGGGACATGTCCACTGGGACTCAAACTGAATGGCTTCAGCCAGGAAAGCTGCTAAACTCTGGTAAACAGTGGAACAGACTCTGTCAGTGCTGCTGAGCGTGCATTAATACTGACAGCAACACACACTGCCTGCAAACCCACATTAAGATGCTACATTTTACACTTACAATATATCAAATTTGCTTTAGCCAAAGAAAAATAGAGAAAGGCGGGGGAGAGATGAAGGGAAAGAGATGGTCATGGAAAACTGTACATCCTTACACTCCCCCTCTCTCACGACAATAAACAAGTCTGATGGATGGATGGAATACAGGAAATGATGTAACACTGGCTATGAGTCCAGGTTTCTCAACATTTAGATTATGTACTGAATTTGATTAATAACTCAACGAATACAGAGTATTGTTTGCTAACATGAATAGAGAATATTGGGACATCCTGCTGATTTGATGTACTGCTTTTAGCGTATACTTTTACATTGAATGCATATTTACAGTTTCAAAGTGTGCATGAACAGCTGAACACAATTGCATTTAGCACTTCAAACTTATTTATATATATATATATACATATATAATGTTAACTATTTTATCATCCAGCTTTAATCTGTTCAATGTTATTATAAGGCATGAATAAGATACTATAAACATGAACATCATGATTTTCTGTACAGCTGCTTTGAAACAATGTGTATTGTAAAATAATATTTGACTTGGCTCACTTAAGCTCCCAAAATAACAATACATTCATAAACACTAAATAAATAGTGAGTCTGACAAACCTCAGTGTCAATCTTCAGCAGTTTTTTGACAGCCGCTTCTTTGTCCTGTGAGATCCAGTGTGCCCGGTACACGCTCCCAAAACTCCCACCGCCGCAGTTCTCATAGAAGCGGATGTCATCGAAACGGATCTGAACGAAGCTAGCGCTGAGGGACGACATCTCATACTGACATTCACTGTGGCTGTAGAAAGAGAGAGACAAAGCAAATTAATATATATAAACATATTAGGCCAACGAAGTGATCAGTACAATGTGACAAATTAAATGTTTTATAATAATAATAATAAAAACATAAAACGTAAAACATAAAAATAATGTTGCAACAAAAATATAAACTCAGAGAAAATAATAATACTTTCAAACTGAAAAGATGCTTTTAAAGAAAAAGAAAATTCTGTCATTTTTTACTTACTCTCATGTTGTCCCAAACCTGTATTAAATTCTTGTGCTGAACACAAAGGAAGATATTTTGAAGAATACATCGGTTCAAAAAGCTAGGGTAGGGCGAAAAACTCTGTTTTACCTTTTTTTGTAAAGGGCATTTGACTTTCTTTGCACGTTCGCTTTGTAAACAATGGGTCGGTGCTTTCGCCTACGTCACGCGTGACCTTTCCAACATGACTACGTAATGTGTGAGATCAGGCTGGTGCAAGATGAGCATTTGTGGTTAAAAAGTATATCAATTTTTATTTTTTTGTAGAAAATGACCAATCGTTCTGCTAGATAAGACCCTTACTGTATAGAGCCCTTTGAAGCTGCAATAAAACTGCAATTTGGTCGTTCAACCCGTTGGGTCCCATTGAAGTCCACTATATGGAGAAAAATCCTGGAATGTTTTCCTCAAAAACCTTAATTTCTTTTCAACTGAAGAAAGAAAGACATGAACTTCTTGGATGACATGGGGGTGAGTAAATTATCAGGACATTTTTATTCTGGAAGTTAACTACTCCTTTAACAAATTTTTTCAGTTTGTAATGTCTTTTTTTGCTGATCAGGATTTGTGCTGCCAGAGTTTTCCCCAAATGTTCTTTTTGTTTTGTTTAGTTTTGCTGATACAAACCTCTTGTGTGGGCGGGCCTTATGGGGAAGGGTTCTCATTGGTTAGTGAGTGACAGTTTCTTGACTCCTGTAAAGTAGACTGTGCAATTGTTATTTTGTGTTTGTGTGTTTATTCTCAATTTATATTTTTGTTTGATTCTTGAACATTTACCTCCAATACTTTGAATCACAACTCTAATGTCACAGCTACAGTGATCAACAAAAGCGTATATAGATTGCTACAGGGCCAACTCGGAAGTTACCGTCTGGCTCCCTCAACAAAAAGCCAATAAGATGCTTCCACTGGCTTTTATATCATTGCCCAAAAAAAAAACTAATTTTTTTTTAATACATTTTTTAAAAAATTGAAATACAACTTTAATTATAAATATTAGATGAAAAAGTTACACTTAAAAACACTTATAAAAAAACTTATTTGCCTTATCATGTTGAACAACTAAAAATACTAAAACCAACACTAAATAAAAATATATTAAAGCTAAATAGAAATATTTATTTTTTTAAAAATCATAAAAATGTCAAAAGCACATAACAAAATTACCACTCTTAAAATGACACTGAAAATATAAAAATAAAAAGTAATTCAAAATAGTCAAGCTATAAATGCTATAAACTACACCAGGGATGCATGACTTCAGTGCCACCAATCTTTATTTAAACTCTACAAGTTGGAAACTTTTGAATTAGAATAGTTTGCAAGAGCGCCATAAACACAACAAGACTGAGTTTTCCTGTTCGGCATGTTATGTAGAAAGATTTGAAACATCTCTAAAGCAGAATGCTACACAGTCATGCATAGAAACCTGCTGTAAGAATGATGAATTACGATGATTCTTATGCAATCAGAGCATGAGAGGAGTTGTGTTGAGTGGAGGTCTGTGTGAAATGTCTGCTCCCTGCATGTGATTTACAGCGTGATCCTTTACCATCTTCACATAACTGCAGAACAACTTGCCATGTATTTGCCTTCGGTCTTCTCTGCTACATCTGTAATTGGACTCCTGCCACTTTTGTCTACACTACTAATCCTCAGTCTTATTTTACAGGCATTATGAAAACACAAGCATAGACAAAAGTGAGAGAGGGGGGTAAACAACAACTGTAATGTTTTGGATTGCTGTTCAAATAGAGATTAGAAATTTCTGTTTACACAAAATAGTAAAAAAAAAAAAGCTTTTAAATATACAGCAGGAGAGATCATAATACTTAGGGAAAACGTAACCATCTGTTTTTAATTATGAACTAATTATGGTCTATGAACTGGGCGCAGAGGAATAAACAAAGTTCAGCACTGATATGACTGTACACTTGTTAAAGTGCTTGTTTGCGCTTACAGCTGCAGCCATGAAGAACTCGTCAATAAGCCGGATATTTATAACCTGTCTCTTGCTTGTCCAGAACGTGTTGTCACAATGTTGGAGTTGGCCTGATTATTTTTCCATGATTTCCCAGGTCTCTATTATATTCCGATATGGCTGGAGGCCCCGCACGGGGTTCTGTACACTGCCTCGAAAGAGCTCACCCTTATGTCTCTAGCATTTTCTGCCACCTAGATATGGCTGAGGTCATGAGGGCTTTAGAGTTCAAACATTCCAATCAACGGAAGTCTGTGGGACTTCTTCACTGTTTCATAGTTTGCCAAGCAAAAGATGTAAGTATGATTGCTTGTGTGCATGATATATATATATACTAAAAAAATATGGTGTAGGCTTGTAGGATTTACTTCAAAACAGAAAATGTTATGAAATTTCACAATTAATTGTGAAATGGCAAGTACACACATTGAATTAAACAAGATATTTTGAATTAGAAAGATATAGTATTTTTTTTTTTGTTTGTAAAAATTTACTCCAGTAATCTTTATTTACAACTCAGAAAAATCATTTTCTATCAACAAAAATTGTTAAAAATAAACTATGATCAAAAATGTTCTTTATAACACCATTAAGGTTCACCAATAAGTTTTACTTTCAAATCATGGTTCTTTATGGAATTTTATAAAAAGGGTTCAGGACCAAAAAGGGTTCATTGTCACAAACCGAAGAACACTAAACTTTTTTTCTGCCACTGGTGCCCCCTCAAAAAAAAAAAAAAAAAAAATTAAGTGTGTATTAGCTTTATAAAATTTACTTAAAAGTCCTTCCTTGTGACAAATGTATTTTTATTCTAATATATTTTTATAATAAATTAATAATTTAGATTTATATATATATGTATAATTTTATTTTTTTCCTCGTCTCTCAATGAGACAGATGAAAATGCATGTACAAGAATTACAAAAATGTTGTTATAAATGAAGTATAACTAACTCACACTGCAGGACATTGCTGTTACTGCTTAACATCAACTAACCATACTGTCATGTCAACTAACCATTAAGTGTGACGCAACCGGTCGCAACAAACACAAGTTGAGTTTGCCAGTATTTCCAAATCCAAGAGTGCACTTCTGAGTACTTCACTTTCAGCCCAGGTTCATGTTAGCTTTCACCTCTAATGTAGTAAACGCTGATGTTGTTGTAGTTGGTGTTAATGGGGTCTGGTTTCTTATGCATTACTAGCACATGCCTCACTCTTCCCTGAAATCTATGACCTCACTTCAGATTGACTTCCCTGGTTTAGAGTGACCAACCTATGTCCCGTACACAGTCTATCACATAAAGAGCGCTCAGTCTCTAAAAACAACCCGCATATCATCACTGGGGCCCGTTGGCTGTGACATCAGGGGCCAACAGGAGGCAATTGTGTCACACGTTCAACTATACTTAACCAGAAACAGCTCATTCATACCTCTGACTTGATTCATTGCCAAAAAACACCCTAACATATCTATCATTGCTAATTATGTAAATAAAAAAAGCAAATAGGAGGCCATAGGAAATATAAAGTTTTAAGTTAAATCATTCATTTGTAGTATTTCACATATATATCACATGTCCATATATGTGCACAATGTTCTTTGTAAAGGAATTTGTAAACATTGTTGTTCTTTATGGTTTGTTAATATTTTCAAGTCCCCTCCATTTCAGGTTAAAAACTTTGGAAGAGTTTGGAATACTTCAGAATACTTTTGGACAACGTGCAGTACTTTTTTGGAATACTTATGAAGATTCTGTAGCGCAAAAACATAAATGACAAACATTATTTGTCTCACTCTCCTGAAGTCGCCAAGCACAAGATCAGCTGCAGAGTTAAAACTCATCCCACGCAATGATATAGCAAATAATGTTACTATTAACACATACATAGCATAATGTGTGTTCTGGTTAACATTTAAAAATCATGGTTTCCTACCTGTTAGTCGTGTTTTCCGTGCGGTCCGGTGAAACGCGTTTGTCTGTCGCTCTCTGAACAATCCCAGTCATAAGATAATATGCGGAGCCTCATTGTCTCGTGTTACCGCACTTCCATAAGAGGACACTCGCTTGGGACCGCTGGACAAATTATGAATCCTACTACGGTAAAGGCTTGGTTTATGAATATTAATTACGACAAACAGACGTTAAGCGGTAACCAAACGAGAGAGTTCTATACGTCACCTAATTAATATTCATGATTCAAACCCCTGCGTCAAGATAAGATTCGTTTATTCGTCAGATTAGTGCCCACCTATTAGCGGCAGCGTTTCAGCCAATGAGCTAGACGTAGTGCTACGTAATTAATATTCATTAGCCAAGCATTCGGTGTAATAGAATAAATCGATCCTTGAGCACAGATTACGATGTTACAAATTTAAGGACAATGACAATAGCGCCTCTACACGGACACAGACAGGCAATGAAAGGGTTTAAAAAGTAAGTAAATAGATAAATAAATGTTTGTTACTACTTATATTCATTAAATAATTAAACACTAAATATATCAGTTTATGTACATTCAGAGAGTTAGAAATGTATTGAAAAATAATATAAAATAATACATATTCATGACGCATATTTACATGCACATAAATATAATCTAAGCCTTGAAAATGTTTAAATACTGCATTGAAATCTCATTTATTTATCTGTACTTACCAGTTGCAATACTGTATTGGATGTTTCGTTTGGTATTAATATATATTTTTTTGTATTGTACTGTTTATTGCAAACAGTAATGCATTCTTGTATACCAGCACACAGCTAGTGCATACTTGTACATTTGCCCATTGACTCGTGTATGTCTGTATATATATCCAGTTCAGTCTTACTGCAATAAAGAGTCTATTAAATTTATCATTTCAATATACTATTTGAATATTGTCCTGTTAGGCGTAAAATATAAAAGCATTAGTTTACCCAAAGTAACTCATTTACCTCTTTTTGTGTTCCTCTTATGAAATACATTTATACAGGTTTTGAAACGTATGAGTGTGAGTAAATGACAGGATTTTCATTTGGGGTAAACCAAGCCTTTATTGTCCCAGAGAACAAATAAGAGCAAAACAGAGCAGAGACAGAAGACATAAAGGCAATAAAACAGAGGAACAAGAGGAAAACACATGTTTGGAGTGAAAAGTCCAAACACACCAACACCAAATGTTCAATGATACATTTATTTAGATTATACTATGTACAAGGTAGGCATAGACATTTTCCTAAAAGAAAATAAGTGCCCTACACGCACAGCGTCTCACTTTCCAAAAGGCAGGATGAGAACAAACAAAGGCCTTCTCAGACCGATTATGATAACTTAGCAAAATGGGTCCGACCCAAAAATATACAAATAAAACTCAATGTACAAAATGACATCAATAATGCTACAGGCTATGGCGAGAGGTAAGTTACTAGCACACAATTTAACCAGTCGTAAAAAAAAAAGTCCTTGAGCCAGAATACTTTCATTTATATGACTTAAAACAACATACCACAAGACATTGAGGCCATTCATAGGATCATAGAAATGCAGGCTTGAGCACAGGCAGCAGGTTTACACTGTTGTATCATGGGAATGAACTAGAGCCTCACATGACGGATGAATACTTTTACCAAGTGCATTCTGCTTAAACACACACACACACACACACACATACACACACACACACACACACACACACTGTCAACCAAGGTAGCTTTTATGACTGAAGGCATTTAACATGCAACTCACACACATACACAAACAATCATACATATGAGAATGCATCTTGCACATGTAGTTCAGTTGGCAGTGATAGCACATACAGTCAGCATTCAGCTTCTCTAGCAGCTGATAGATGTGAAATTGAGTTGTACTTTTGTAAACTGGATATACAGTGGTTGTATTTCAAAGAGAAAGAGAGAGGGAAAAGCAAGAGAAAAAGTCTGAGCATTGGTTTTTAGCTCCGCCTCGGCTCCAGTCTGAAGGACATCTGGGATAAGGTTCTCTGGTTGTCAATCACATTCAATTGACGCACGTAATTCCTCACTTCCTGTGGGTTCTTGCTAGCCGGAGACACCTCAGCATCTGATGGAGGTGGGAACAGTGTTAAAACAACCAGTGCTTCCAGTACCAGTACACTGTGTGGAATATTGTAAACCACAATGAAATGTGCTTGACTTGACCTTTTACAAATGAACCTGTTGTGATTAAAGCTGCTATTTTTTCTCTTTAATAATTATTTGAACGGACTGGGTATACAAAATTACACAATACTGAATACTAAATAACCCTTTTTTATTTTCTAGATGACACCAATTGCAGAAAACTGAGTGAAAACTGTGTCCCTGCATGACATATCTCATGCTGTATAATTACATTTGAATCAAATAGTTTAGTTTCTTTTCTATTTATGTTATTAGTAATGTTCATTAGGAGATGTATGTTACATTTCATATTATTTAGGTAATGTTTATTGTATTATTTTAGTGGCATGTGTGTTACCCTGATGGCGCTTTGTTTTTGTGTCTATGCATCATTTATATGAGTATTGGTTATGTTTTATGGACAAACCAATCACGATGAACTAGTTCATCACATGGCTTTTTTTTTAGTGCACCTGTTTTATTATGGTATTTATCAGTACATTTTAAGGTAAAAAGCAGATTTTGGTATAAAACATTATATCAATTAATGAAATATACAGTTATAATTTGTAAAATATACAGGTTACCAGTACGCCATTTTTGCCTAGAAACACTGTCACAGAATTTTGAATTTCTGGCAACCACAGCTGCCAGTTTTTTTACTGTAAAGTAAAACAGCCGGATCTTTTTATGAGATTTTATTTACAATATTTTTATACATACATTTAGACATTTTTACAATTGTTGTGATTTAATGTCCATTCATGCTCTTTTACCTCTAGACATGGCCAGTTATGTTTTCCTGATTATCTAACCTCAGATTGTTATGAATATGATATGACTGACTGAACTCTGGGATGTAGCTTTTTTAACTAGGCAGCACAAACGGGCAGATCATGAGAAATGAATTAGTGACGCAAAGAATTAGAGTGTAGATGACTCACTGAACAGCTGGCTCCTGCAGTGCCTCACCGCCCGGATTGTGTTAGCGATCAGCCGCTGAGGAGAGAATAAAGTGTAAATATATATGTTCTAGCCGGTAAGATAGTGGTGCAGATAAGTCACAGATTCAGTGTTGTTATTGATAACTCAAACAATTAAAAATCATTTCCATTAATTGAAATACAGCTGAAATAAAATATATACTCACCATCTTCTCAAAGTTCACCAGTCCATCAATAAAAGTTTTATTCCCCTCATGAGTGAATGTCATGTCTGAAATAGAAGAAATATTTCATGCTGTAGAAAAGAACTTTGTGACAACCAGTACTTAATATTAAGAATATTGGGGCTAGGCCCCGCCCACACCTTTAATGAGGAGGGGCATAAAGGGAATGATTGGCGGCTCCATCTTAGCCACAGTGAGGCGGTATGCACGGTGATTCCTGGATGGATCCTGACAGCAACACATAAATCAATGAGCAATGAGTTTCAATCACAAAATAATAACTTTATAGAAAGAGAGCTAGAATTTAAAATGTTTGAAATAGACTCACTAGTAAACTCTCAAACTCTGCGTAGAACTTCTTGAATTTACTAGGCAGTTTCTAAAAAAAATAAATAAAAAAAATTATTAACATATGCATATTCATTTAATCTATTTAAAAATTGCAATGACTTGAATAAACCTTTTGTATGGTTTACGTTAAACCCATTAAAGTCCAAATTGTCTTGATAGTTTAATAAAAATCTTGAAAAAAAATATTGAAATTAAAAACCAAAACAAAAACATTTAGTGCCATAATATTTCATTATCTTTATGCAGACATGTCAAGTCTTCTAAAAATCTGCTAATTTGACCTTTTTATGCAATTTTTTGACATACTGCACTTGACATTTTTATTAAGGATTTTAAAGATTTAGTTTAAAATGGTTTTAAACACTTTTCCGAAAATAAAACCAACATTAAAACAAAGACTATATTTCTAAAAATATGGCACATGTTTTAAAACAGACTTATTATATATTAGTTGTGATATGGCACTGACCTCCCATGTCTGGCTGAGTCTGCTGACGGCTGGGTTGCACATGCCCATAATAATGGCGAAGAAAGAGTTTAGATTCTTAAACTCTCTACAGCTGAGGGAATAAATGCACAGCACACATATATCAAGTGCTTATCAATTCAATATAACACACAATGCATCGAATCCAGTGCAAATTCATGTGAGTTCTGGTGAATTTATATATGTGTGCTGGAGAACTCACTGGGCGGCAATCTTGATGAACTTCTTGAGTAGCTGTACCCGTTTGCTGAGCGTGCCGCACAGACAGACCTCTGTGACCACCCACAGCTGCACCTGATTAAAGCGCTTCAGAAACAGCTCCAGATTTACTGTAGAGCGTCTGTATGCCTGCCGTCCAAATGTATGATAGACCAGCTCATACTGCGCACACACACACACACACACACACACACACACACACAGTCAAACTACACATTTTGTGGGTTAAAAATGTAAGTTGTGTGTGTGTGTGTGTGTGTGTGTGTATCACTGTATGTGCATCTTTACCTCATGTACACAGCTGAAAAGCTCCCAATCATATTGGGTCATCTGGAAGGCCAGATCTTTAGAGCTCATCAGCTCAAAACTGGACATAGAGCCAGTGGAGGGACCTTCCTGCTCTGCAAGCGGATTCTACACACATATACACAGTCATTACTAAATACACACAAATACAAACCCTACAAATATTCACATATCCAGTGTCAACAAAAATATTTACACACTTAAGAATAATTTAGATGTTTTTGAAAGGTCTTTTATGCTCACCAAGTCTAGTTCAAGTTCACAACGAAAAATATTTGCTGAAAATGTACTCACCCTCTGGCCATCCAAGTTGTAGAAGAGTATGTTTCTTCATCAGGACATTTTCCGATGAAGAAACTTATCATGAAATTTAGCCTTAGATCACTTGCTCACCACTGGATCCTCTGCAGTGAATGGGTGCCGTCAGAATGAGAGTTCAAACAGCTGATAAAAACATCACAATAATCCACAAGT